TGTATCCATCAATTACAAAACCAGAAGCATCAATTAAGCATTTCAGCTCCTGAATTTAGCAATTGAAGCCCACATGCAATCAGAAGAGGAACACAGTTCAAATTCTCCAAAACAATGCATTTACACCAGCAGACAAGCAACAATATGCAAATAAAATCGAACTATAATCTCCATGTGCTTTCCAGCCATAGTAGTTTGTTCCTTCTACAGAGGCATTCATGAAATTATTCGGAGTATCTTTAAACATTGTGTATAATCTTGTACCATATAGGTATAGCATACAGCTACATATACTCCCTTATATTCTCGGATACAGAGGTAGATGTATGTATATACTGTACCTCATCGGCGCATGTAATCCGATTTTTGAATACGTAGCACAGTCCGATCCGATCAAGCAGTGGTTTCAATTTCGATCGATTACCATTACTAGCTGAAGAAGATATTGCGTGGAAATTCGCTATCTGCAACAACGACTGGCATCGCATAATACGTTCAGCTCACATCAATCGCGATTAGGAGACAATTTCAAGACAAATGTTTTTTAAAAAAACAAAATCCAAAACGCAGATAATCAGAAAACCAACAACTATTTTTAACTGTTAACTTCAGAGGATTCGAACACAGTTTTACGAATATGTGAACACTGTGTAGGTTGTACATGCATGTTACCTGCTTCAAATCGCGAAGTAGTGGAGGCGATAGGCATCGAAGATCCAAGACAAAGCAAAGCATCACCATTTTCGAATTCTGATACTCAATCAGTCAATCTCATTTGCTTGCAATATTGCTTCTCTCGGTATTTATATGGCAGCTTTTAAAATTTGTTCGAGTTCTGGCGCGTAATTGCCCCTGGACTGGATTAAACTACCGAACGAAGGTTTCGAGGCGTGGTTTAAAAGAAATAATTTGAAAGACAAGTAAGGGTGTGTTTGGAAACCTGGAAAATGAGTTCTGGAAATCATTTTCCAAGTTTTCACTGTTTGGATGTGTCTGGAAAATCAAGTCAACGGAAATCATTTTTCGTTGACTTTGGAAAATAGGCTTGTTTTGGAGGAAAATGACTTCGAAGTCATTTTCCAACTTTTACACCAACATCACACCATCACCAACATCATCAACACCATACCACCACCACCACCGCTGCTACCACCGTCGCCGCCACCACCACCACTACCGGCGCCGTCGTCGCCGCCGCCACCACCATACCACCGCAACCACCGTCGCCGCCACCACCACCACCACCGTACCACCGCTGCCGCCACCACCACCATACCACCGCAGCCACCACCACCAGCATCACACCACCGCCGCCACCACCACGACCATACCACCGCCGCCACCACCACCACCACCACCACCACCATACCACCGCAATCACCATCACCGCCACCACCACCATCACTATACCACCGTCGCCGCCGCCGCCGCCACCACCACCATACCACCGCAACCACCGTCGCCGCCATCACCACGACCATACCACCGCTGCCGCCGCCACCACCACTACCACCGCCGGCGCCGCCACCACCACCACACCACCGCCGCCACCACCACGACCATACCACCGCAACCACCGTCGCCGCCACCACCACCACCATCATAGCACTGCAACCACCGTCACCACACCACCACCACCACCACTGCCACCAGTTATTATTATTATTATTATTATTATTATTATTATTATTATTATTATTATTATTATTGTATAACAAATAACACCACTACCACCACCATAATATTTTTGATATATTATTAGTTTTTTTTATTATATTTAAAATTATTATTATTATTATATATTATTATACATGTTGTAATATTCTAAATAAAATAATTAAAATGTTTAATTAAACAATTCTACTCATTTTCCAGAAAATGAACCAAACACACAAAAACAGTTTTTCAGAATGCAACCAAACACTGGAAAGGAAAATGTTTTATGGAAAATGACTCATTTTCCAGAAAACATTTTCCAGAAGTCATTTTCCTGCTTTCCAAACGGACCCTAAAAGACGAAAGTTCAGAATAATGGAAAAAAGATGGTTAGTATTAATGCAAATAGAATTTATAAAAAAATATTGAAACAAACTTTATAGAACAAATGATAACTTTAAAAAGAGTAGAAAATTTGTTAGAAGAAATATTAGGAGAAGATTTAAAAGATAAAATTATGGAAATTATTATTATTATTTATTATATAAAGATGAAATATGGTAGCAGTTTATATAAAAATATATGTAGAATATAAATCTAATAAGATGGTAATACAAAAAATATTTATAGATAGTGGAGCAGATATATGATTAGCCAAAAAAGATATAATAGCACCATACAGATGGAAAAAATCAAATAGACATAGAATAAAAGTCTCATGATTTAATAAACATAATAAAGAGTTAGATGTAATAGATGAAGATGTAAAAAATTTATTAGATAAATTAATATTTAAAATACCAATAGTATACCAAGAGAATAATATGAAACATCATTTATTATTAGGAAATAATTTTTTTAGACCTTTTCAAAACACAAGTAACAAATAGTGAGGTAGCTACTACAAGAAAAGTCTTCAAGCTAGGTACAATAAGATAACTACTACATGAAAAGTTTTCAAACTAGGTACATACTAGTACAATAATAAGATAACTATTACATGTAAAGTTTTCAAACTAGGTACAAAATAATACAATAATAAGATAACTACTAAGGTGTCTTTATTTCTTTCTCCTCACATTTTATCTTCTTCCTCTATTGATGATAAGGCATTTCTTCCTAATCTTTATCTGATAATATTTTGCAACTTGTTTTTGGCTGATCATATTTCTCAAACTATTCTTACTCTTTGAGAAACTTATTAGTGTTTGTATCACTTCATGAAAGGTTCATATAACTTCCAATCTAGCCATTGGAGAGATGATTTCATCAAAATCAATTCTTTCGTCTTTAACATCAAAACGAGCATTATTCCTAAATATGACTCTTGCTTCGTCCGGATGACTTCAATGATACCACTTGTTGATAACATTTGTTGATTCCAAGCTATATGTCATTGTAAGTATTGAGAATATTCCTACAAAACAGCTTATGTTTTTCAGATATAGGTACCCATTTTATCTTAGGTCCTCAAAGGTTAGCTTTATAGGAAATATGAATCAATTAGTTGTTGTGTTGTTGTTGTTGTTCCATATGTATTTTGATAAAATATTTTTTTTTATCGCATCCTTCCAAATGCTCTGTCGAGTCGGAGTATAAAGAGCCTTGGGGTTGGAGATTCAACCTTTTGAATGGGAGAAGAATAAAATATTTTTCTCATCACATGTTTAATTTTACTGGATTAAACTACAAAATAAAACGACCTCGTTTGAGAGGTGTGGTTTAAAAGAAATAATTTGTGAGACAAGTAAAAGCTACCGTTCATCGGTCGCCTCCACAGACCTGAGAGAGACCAGAGCTCTAGCCAATCTGGAGATGAGAGAGACAATTTAACGACGCCAGCCACCAGCGACCACCGCCCCACCGGTGAAGCGCCGCCGCCGCCAATAAGCCAGACGTCCCAGGTATATTATTATTTTTCTCAGAAACCTAGTGTTATCCTCCTTTCTAGAATGGTAAATTTTATCAAAAGAGTTGCTTGGAAATGGATGAATAAAAAAGTTAACTTGTATTTGTAAATCTCACTGGTAATCACTGTTATTGTGTTAATTCGTAGGCTTGCAATGTACCAATATCCCACTGATATTTAGTGTTGTTTGTAGAATCAAGTTAGTTTATTTGTAGTCTCGCAATATACCAATGTCCCATGTAAATTTATGTCTTCGTGTTTAGTTGTATGGGTTTCTTTTCTTTGGTATATGGGGTTGTACCTATCTCTTTAATTTCATGAAAAAATGATCTTAATTTGGGTATACAAATTGTCAGTTGGATAGATTGTATGTCTTTTGTAATACTCTTGTTGTTTCTCCTGGATTTAGGCATGAACAGTTATAAATGGATTTTTACTCTTTCTAGAACAAGATGGAATTGGAATGGGTTGGTAATTGAAGTATATGCTCTATGCCTCCATTTCAACTAAAAGCCTAAACTGATAGTTGAATTTCATGCTCAACACGCCCCATCACACCTATGGCCTTTGGCACGGTGTTAGCTCTGATACCAAATTGAAGCAAGAGCTCCATCCCAACTAAAAGTCTTTTAAGAAGCCATTGGATTCCTTGCTTTGCTCCAACAAGCAACAACTAATTGAGACTTAAATCTATTCTTTCCTAAGCTTGTTCGCGCAAGAGTTTTCAACATGCTTCTTATTCCCGTGTTTGATCTCTTCCATCTCTGCCTGGCTCGTTGTCACCTATGTTGAAGAAAGGTTTGGAACCTTGTAGAGAATGAAGAGGGGCCAAGGATATTCTTCTCAACAGTGCTTTTCGAGGCTCCCCTGAATAAGTAAGGCCCTGTTAGCCTGGGCGAAGATGGGGATAAAGAGTAAGGATTGAAATAGTTTTATGTTTATATATTATATGCTCAACAGTTTTTAAATAGCTTTTAAATTCTCTTATGGGGCTTTAAGTTCTTTTTTTACCTCCTGGTGAAATACCTAAAATAGAATAATAGAATGTGACATAATTTGAAGTTGGAGCTGCATAAATCATGGGAAAGAGTTCGCTTTCCTGATTTCTAAATAGATTATGAATTCATTCATGTATTTCGGAGAATTAGGTAGTGGAATATAGTTTGATCAGTTCCTAGTCTTGCCTCTTATTCTTGCATTTGTAAAGTTTATACCATGCTGAAAAATGGGAGATCAGAGTTTGAATAGTTCTACTCACAAGTCACAATCAATTGCTGCTGAAAGAAAATATCTTATTTGCTTTAATTTTTTGCCCACACCCAACTTTTTTTTTCTGTCAAGAATAATTCCCTAAAGGTGCTTTATTTGTTATAGTTGAAAGCATTCATTAATATATTACTCAGTGTTGTGATGTATAACTTAATAAACATTGTAATTAGAAAAGGAAAGAGAAGATTTTATTTGAAATGTGGTGTTTGGAATTCCCCATAATATATATATTCAGTAACCAATCCACCAGATATCACTGAAGTAGCTTCAAATTTGCAGATGCCATGGGTTGCTGGGAAGGTCGCCATAGGAAAGCAATGTTGCGTTATCAATCCGGTCAACATCCAAGTTCGAAAGAGACTTCAATTTCTTGATCAGCGTTTTCATGGAATCTGAATCATCATTATCAGGTGTGAACTGGGCATCCGAGATGCCCACAACGCCAGGGTTCTGGCTGCTCAGAACGGAGAAAACCGTGGCAAACTCGAAGCCGATGTTGTAGAAATAGTGCAGAAGCCCTCTAGGGAACACGAAAACATCACCTTCGTTGAGAATCTTTTGGAACACTCTACCTTTGGTGTCCACGAACCCGGCAACCACCCTGCCTGAGCTGACAAACACCATCTCAGAAGCCCTCGGGTTAGAATGAGGCAACACCAGGCCATCCACTTCAAAGTCGGTCCTTGCAACCGATAAGCCCAGAGTGTTGAGGCCCGGGAACTTTGCAGCAGTGAGTATGTTTGTCGAAGACCCCAAGAAGTTGTCCGTGTCGCCTTTCTTGCTCAAAAGTGAGCTTTTAAAATCCGAAGCTATAACCTCAGCTGGATTCTTGCACGGAAAACCATTTACGAAGATGTTTTTGCGAGCCGTGTCTGCTGGGCAGGTATCCTGGAGATTATCTGCATCCTTTGCCCATATAAGTTTGCTGCAAATGCATGCACATAGTATCAAGACAATGCCAAACAAAACAGAGGCCTTCATACTATTTTCTATTTATGCTTTCTGAATAGACAAACTTAAGTGTGTGTACAATCACAGTCATCTACTCTACCAGATGGGGGACTCTATATATATATATATAAAGGTTCTGAAGTATGCATAGTTGTGAAGTAATAATATAAAGCTTGGAGTCCACTTCACTGAATTCCTAAGTGGATTTTGCTGAAGCTTGAAAGAAACACAATGCTTACAAAGAAAGATGAGCTGCTCTTATCTGGAAGGCAGGATGTCCTTGTTCTATCCTATGGACATGTTTTTCTCAATGTAGAATTCCCAATAATATTGTTCAAATGCAGGGATTTTGGACTTTTGTTTTTGCTAGTCTTGCAAGTAAAGTTTGTGTCAAATTGTTTTAACTCATATTTACTCTGTCTCATTTTATCTGTCATGTTTACCATTCGTTGGTTATATAAACTTTCTTTTTTGTTTATTTTCTTTAATATTTTTTTAATTATATAAATTTTATATACTAATATTTTACTATTCGTTGGTCATATAAACTTTCTTTTTGTTTATTTTCTTTAATATTTTTTTTAAAAAATAATTTTCTTTAATATTTTTTAATTATATAAATTTTATATACTAATATTAAACTTAATATGATGAAAAATTGAATTAAAAATAATTACAGTCAAATAGCAGTAACCAAATTAGACACATAAAATTAGACAAATGGAGTATTTGGCCCTGTTTGGTAAAATAGTTAGACTATAAATATATTTTGACTTATTTGACCATTATTAGCTGTTTGACTTGGTTGAGTGCTTGATTAATTAACTTGTTATAACATGGTTAAGTGCTTGATTAATTAACTTGCTATAACAGTTTATTGCTCCAAAATGCTAAAATTTAAAAGGCTACTCAAAATAGCTTTTTCGATCAACTTTAAAAATAAAAAATAAAAAATAAAAAATAAACAATTTTTACATGTAATTAGCTATCAACTAACAACTAATTTACCAAACACTTTTCTACAATCAACTAATCCTATCAATTAGTTAAACCCACTAACTCAATCAGCTAACATCTATTTACCAAACATCCCCTTGACTATTAAAGATTTTAAATTTTAATGGGCAAGTAGATGGAAAATACTAATTAGTATGCTTCATGAACATTCAAAGTATACCATTGGACAAGTTAAAACACACTGGATGATCTGCTGTTTACCATATATGCCAAGCAAGAATGACATTTAGAAGCCAAAAGAAAGAGCAAATGAGAAACTTCATAGCAAATGGAGTACTGTTTTAGTGTTCAGATTGTTCTTGGAAGCAACAGTACAAACAGAAAATTTAAGTCCAACTTTGTTCCAATTAGCAGGATGGATCTTCTGTTAACTTTATTTAATTAATGGCAAGACACCATTATTCATGAAGTTCAAACTTCTTCAATCATCATCAATTGATAAATAGCAGAATAAAAGGATTAGTAATCTACTTGGCTACTAAAAGATCTCATTAGTGAGGTTGAGTCAAGCAGGAACACTCTTCTTAGCATCATTTGAAGAAACTTCATTAATATGCTCATCGGGTGTTGTAAGAATCTCGGAAATGAACTTTATCAAAGAGCAAAGCCCACCGAGGAAATTATGATCAATGACCCCTCCACCTTCCACAACGTGAGCGAAATCAATCAGCTTGATAACTGCACCCGGACTCTTTTCTTGTAACGCGAGTTCTTTATCGAACATCATTAGAATTGAGCAAGAGTAGAAATGGTAAATGGTTTGATCCTCAAACCAAGCTTTCAGATCCAGCAACTGCGACAAAATTCCATTGGATCCACCGTAAACAATTGATGCAAAGGAGCAATCCGGCTTCAAATCCATACCACCCGATGTGTTTGAAGAAACAAACTTTTTTAGAAATGACCTGATTTCAGCTGCAGAAAGGTTTTGAACAGATTTCCTTCCAGGCTTCCAATACCCTGTTTCTTTGCTCCCATAGACTTGCAAGCCCGATAGCCTGAAACCTAAGGTAATGCTAGATGTTTCTCTATCCTTTTGCAAGCATTTATTGATGTAATCCTCGGATTCCTGTGGGGGCCAGGTCCTCGAACCAATCTTAATGTCCATTATCGACGGATTGGCTCGACCAAGAGTGAGATCTTCCAAAACTAGATGAGGTAGCAGACCACAGCCATCGGACGCCTCCAGAAGCTGGGTGCCATGAAATTTTGGGAAGAACTTGGATATGTGATCCGGGATCCTAGCATTCGAAAAAAAGGATGTGTAGAATGCAACCTCGTGGGACCCACGGTCACCGCTCTGCAAAGGCTTGTAAAAAAACCCGGAATCATCTACAAGGGGTCCGAGCTTCCCATTCCCAGCTTGATGTCCTGCAACTTGATGTTCAGGGACCTTAAGCATGTCCACTCAATCACAGATGGTGAAAGGCTTCACAACAAAAGAAACAATAGAATCAAACTCAGAATGCCATAGAATACAAGGTTTATCAAGGAAGTGTATGATAATTGGTTAATTAGTCACATTGACACCAAATTAAGAGCATCAATTCAGAGCTTAGCCCCAAGACAAAATCAGAACTGCATATAAAGCTTGTTATAATCTAATAGAATCACCAATATAGAAAATGACAACTTAAAAGAAGAAGCCAAGAGCATAATAAAGTAATACACAAGTATGGATTTAACTTGCTAAAGCAGACCACAAAAAACAAATAGATAACATCATAAAGTACTAAACTCTACCTTTTCCTATTGAAACAAAGACAAAACAAAGCTCATCTCAAGATTTAAAAGAGCATATCCTAATAGTTTCCTTTTCTTGAAGCCTACCAAATCTAGACAACAAATACTCAAGCAAACACAGGAAAGTGTTCATTTCCCCCTTCTTCTTTTAACTTTCATTCATCACCCAAATCCAGATTCTTCTTTTAACTTTCATTCATCACCCAAATCCAGATAACAAATAATCAGATGAAAATTAAAAGAATCAGGAAGTATAAACCCAAGATCAGCTCAAAAATGCAAATAAAAAACTTGCTGGCATTGGGATAAAGTAATGGCAAAGTTCAAGCTTTGATTTTTAAAGAGCCAAAAGTTATAGATTAAACAAATTAAACCAAAAATAATAGATTAAACAAACTATAAACACCAGAAAATGACATTACTGCATTGGCATATTTAATTACACAATGGATCTACTTGTTGAAGCTTTCCCGAAAAAGTTGCGTTTCTTTTACGAAGAAGTATATATTATTATCACTTTTTGCTTTTTAGTAGTTTTTTTTTTTCAAATTTTTTTTACAAAACTTTCCTGTGATCACCCTGGAATGCCAAGAAGAACACTTTGAGAGCAATTCAAGGAGGAAAAAGATGAGAAATAAAACAAAAATTAGGAATGAAAAATGAAATAAACAATTTAAAAATACCTGCGGATGGAAACTTTGAGAGAAGCTGGAAGGAACATTCAACGATTGAATTAGCAATAGAATAGATCCTGCGGCCTCGGGATTTGTGTTATTCTCATGGCTAAATGTTAAGTTTTGCCCCGAACTTTGTGAAATTTAAATTTTGATCCTTCTCAGTTCTCAGGCAGCAAGGAGATCTGGATGGAGCAAATACCAATTTTGATCCTACGAGTATTAGTAAAATGACGATTTTGGTACACATGTTTAATTCTATCAATTTTCATCCACGATTATTGATTTAGTACCAATTTTAATCCACGACTATTATTTTAGTACCAAAATTCATCACATCCGTCACCCATTTATTTAAGACATCCCGCAATATAAAAATTTTAAGGGTATTTCGTCCTTTTCAACTTAAGATTCCAATTTGAGCATAAATAAATTAATTTAAGCCCTAAGATCGATCCCAATTCGCAGTTCCCCTCCTCATCCAACCTTAATTTGAGGAAAAAAAACTACGAATTGGGATAGATCTTAGGGCTTAAATCCCTTTATTAATGCTCAAATAGGGATCCTAATTTGAAAAACACGAAACTACCCTTAATAATTTCATATTTCGGCATGTCTTAAACGAATGGGTGACAGCGTGATGAATTTTGGCACTAAGACAATAGTTATGGATGAAAATTGGTACTAAAACAATAGTCGTGGATGAAAATTGGTAGGAATTAAACATGTGGACCAAAATTGTCATTTTGCTAATACTCGTATGACCAAAATTGGTATTTTCTCGATCTGGATGGACAAGATTTATGGTAAGTTAATATATTATCTAACTAACCAACATAGTTGGTGTGGTGGTTCAGCAACTTGTCCCTTAAACATAGATTGTATATGTTCCTCTGTAATAAAAAAAAATGTTTTTTTTCTTTCACGTACCGCGAATCACAGAATCAAAAAAAATAAAAAATGGAGGCGCAAGCTGGCGACGGTGGCTATGGCAGCGCCGCAACGAGGATCTGAGGGGGAAGCGGCGGCGGTCGCTGGTGCCGTCTGCCGCGGGACCGAGAGTATGAGGTCGTGGGGTGGTGCGGTTTGCCGTGGACCGGGGTGGTTGCGAGATGCGATAGGTAGGCTATGCTGTTTGCCGTGGACCGGGGTGGCTGCGAGATGCGATAGGTAGGCTATGCTGTTTGCCGTGGACCGTGGTGGCTGCGAATAGGGCTGAGTGGATTAGAGGGAGAAACAAAGAAGTAGAAGCGAGTGAATTCCATTTTTGGTCCTACTGTTATAGGGGTGTTTCCAATTTTAGTCTAGCTTAATTTTTTTGCCACTTTATAACCACTATTATTGAATGTGTTCCACTTTTAGTCCCACCGTTAGTATTTCGACCAAGAGGTCATGTAATCTAGGTGTATTTTGACCTTTCTTCTCATCCAAGACTATGTTTGACTAAAGAAATGAGAACATTAAACCTAAAACCTAAGACACCTCGCCGGCCCATGTTGGAACGAACGAAAAGATGTAGCTTTGGCTTCCCATTCTCGTTGTTCGAAGAGCCATCTTCGAATATCGGAAGAGGAGGACGAAGCGCCTGGATTAAAAGAGAAGAGACAAACATAAAAAGATCACAATACTCTTGGATTATACGGCCTCTTGACAGAAATATTAACGGTGGACAAAAAGTGGAACACATTCCATAACAGTGGTTGTAAAGTGGCAAAAAAAATTAAGGTGGACTAAAATTGGAAACGCCCCTATAACAGTAGGACCAAAAATGGAATTGACTCAGTAGAAGCTAAACCAGTAAACCAAAGGCCTCGTTTGGTTCGTGGAAAATGAAAAATGGAATTGAAATTTCATAGAAAAGTAATTATTAGGAAGATGAATTTTATTGTTTAGTTGGTGGAAAAATTATTAGAAATACTTATCCCGTTATTTGGTTGGATTTAGAATTATAAGGAATAACAAGTATAAAGACATATACGCCCCCAACAAATGAACAAAAGTAATAATAATTAAGAAAGAACACAAAAGTAGAATAAAATTGCTGATAGCTTGGCCACGAAGGCGCTTGCCCATGAGATTGGGCTTCGAATACTTACAGCTCTACCCTGGAGCTAAGAGAAGCGATCCAACTCAACCAGCTTGGAGTTAACTATTCAAGAACCCCCGGAGTATAGCTAGGGAGACTGATCGAAGCTAGCGTTTTGTTTGGGTGTCTCCTTCCTTTCTGATCAAAAAACAAATTATACTAATATTATATTAATATATTAATTTAGTTGGATCAAATATATTCTGATTCGTATTCGAATAATTCGAATTCAAATATATATATATATATATATATATATATATATATATATATATATATATATATATATATATATATATATATATATATATATATATATACTAATAAGAGCCCAAGAGAGTTAGACCTATAATGGGTAGAAAAAATGGCGGTATCAAATGAATGGCTCAGATTACTCCAATTTTAATTTTTTCAAATAATTAGATTAAATGAATAGCTCAGATTACTACAATTTTAATTTTTTGAAGAGTTTTCCCTAAATACCTACACACTGTTATTGAATCTGTTAATAATCTTAGATTTCTCCGTTAGTTCTCCGTTTAGTACTTCGCAGAATATCGCAGGGATTCATACTCGTCAGTCATTGTTGGAATTTAGCCCTTATGTTTCCTCTTCCAAGGATACCGCAGTTTTAAAAAATTTTGCCTCCCCTACGATTCCTCCTCTCCTGCGAGCAAGAGCCAACGACGACGGTGGAAGACTCCTCCTGCTCTGCCACAGCCGCCAACGAGGGCCCCACTTCCCCTGCGCCTCCGGTCACTTCCAAATTTGAGGTATGTGTTTGAATTTCTTGTTGGATATTTGTGTGTCTCAATTTATGCTCTTCACCATCTTCAGAGGCAACAATCCAAACCTCGTCTTTTAGGTTCTATTCGGTTTAATCAATTAGGTTTACTTGCACTTCCTAATGGTCTAAACTCAGTCTTGGGTTTTCCATTTAGATTCAATTTTGTATATTTGAGTTGGAACAAGCTTAAGGAATCTCCATTGCTAGAGGAAGTAGTTAAAAATGTTTATTGGACTTCCCTATATTTCCTTTAATCATTAATATACTTGACTTTTTCTGGTGGGAATACTAATTCTGCAGGTACTATGATCTTAAGTTTGGTATTGAAGGTCTGAATCTGTGAAGGGATCTACGTATTGAGGTCATATTTTTTACCTATAAAAATTCAGTGATTTCTTCTTGAAGTTAGTTCAGTATTTTAACTAGAGTAGAATATATGTTAACTTGGAATGAGTTTTTCAGTGAAACAAGATTCAATTTTGTATATCTTGAGTTGGAACAAGCTTAAGGAATCTCCATTGGTAGAGGAAGTTGGTAAAAATGTTTATTGGACTTCCCTATATTTCCTATAATAATTACTATACTTGACTTTTTCTGGTGGGAATACTAATTCTGCAGGTACTATGATCTTAAGTTTGGTACTGAAGGTCTGAATATGTGAAGGGATCTATGTATTGAGGTAATCTTTTTTACCTATAAAAATTCAGTGATTTCTTGTTGAAGTTAGTTCAGAATTTTAACTAGAGTAGAATAGAATGAGTAGAATTGAACAAATAAAGATTAGGGAGTACAATAGAATTGAACTATCCTTTGAGTAAGCCGTACAAGAGCAATTGTTGAGGCAAACTTGCTCACACTCTTGAAGGTTCATACTGCTATTGAACCAATATGAAAACTGAGTGTCTGGCAATTTAATACCAGAGTACTTCACGAATCCATCCGAGGATGTATTTTGAGTATCTGGTTATAATGCTTTCTTGTGAAGTTGTTTTATTTATCTATCTATATTGTGGAGAATAGTTTTTTGCATATGCATCTACCTATTATTGTGTGTTTAGTTAGGAGTAATATAAGAAAATCCGAAGAGTGGTCACGATGCAAAAATGTCAAGCCATAAATTTTAGCTAGATGATGCATATGTTTTGAATTTGGAGTAGGCGGAATGCCTTTTTTATTGTCTCATTTCATTCAATTTATATTTGAGTTTTATGATGTTGGTATTCTGTTACTAAGATTAAATGATGGCCAAGCTGTATTAACCGTTTCTTTCAATGATTGAACATTTTTTTCTACTCCTATTTACTAATTTTTTTGGGTTTCATGTGTCTACATAAGAAAACACCAACAATATTGTGCTCCTTTAACACCATAATATTCATAAAAGATGCACTCTTTCTTTAGATCAAAGGTCCATTAGCATGTTATTAAGTCATTATGCATATTGTCTGGTTAGATATGGGATGCAACTCGGTGTAAGAGAATAAGAATCATGGAGGGACATCGATTACGAGTTGGGGCACTAGCTTGGAGTTCTTCTGTGTTGTCTTCAGGAAGCCATGACAAGAGCATTCTTCAACGTGATATACGAGCTCAAGATGATTACGTCAGCAAGCTAAGTGGTCACAAGTCAGGGGTCAAGCTCTCTTCTTAATATATGATCTATTCATCTTTCTGTTTCTATTGCCATTTGGAAGATTAATTTTCCTAAGTTATTTTTTTACATCATGCTATCAAATTTATTGGATTTTAGGTCTGTGGACTGAAGTGGTCATATGACAACCGTGAATTGGCATCTGGTGGAAATGATAATAGAGTATGCTCTTAATGCTTGCTTTATGTTTAATTACCTCAAAAGGAAAAAAAAAAAAAAAAAGAATGGCTCTTGATTGAATCTTTTCTTGGATAGCTTTTTGTATGGAACAACCATTCAACACAACCTGTGCTAAAATATTGTGAGCACACTGCTGCTGTAAAAGCAATTGCATGGTCACTCCATCTTCATGGACTTCTTGCTTCTGGTAGTGGCACAGCTGACCGATGCATTCGTTTCTGGAATACTACCACTAATACTCATTTGAATTGCATGGACACTGGTAGCCAGGTGATAAGCTTATCATCAATTAGGTTTATCAATATTGTGGGAAATATTTTGACAATTTGCTTATGCATATTGTTTAGTAACTTATTAAACAGTATGGTTGGGCTCCATTTTCTTAAATAGTAACTATCAAATTCATGGTATCATACTTGTCAGAGATGATGTTCCATTATCTAGATGTTCGAGCTGCGAGGGAGAAGAATGGGGTTTATATTCCACAAGAAAGATTTTAGCAGGATGAAGCTGAAAAGAAGGTATGTGTTTTATGAACTTGGTTTTGAAATTGTCTATATTGTGGAGAATAGTTTTTTTTTTGCATATGCATCTACCTAATATTGTGTGGTTAGTTAGGAATAAGATAAGAAAATCCGAAGAGTGGTCACGATGCACAAATGTCATGCCATAAATTTTAGCTAGATGCTACATATGTTTTGAATTTGGAGTAGGCGGGATGCCTTTTTTATTGTCTCATTTCATTCAATTTATATTTGAGTAATTGAGTTTTATGATGTTGGTATTCTGTTACTAAGATTCAATGATGGCCAAGCTGTATTAATCGTTTCTTTCAATAATTGCTATTTTTTTTTTTTAATTCTGTTTGTTCTCATTCTATATTTAGCATTTCCCTATGAACTAGAAATTCTTCAAATGTATTTAATCTCTTGCTGCTGAGATCTTTATGGATTCTTAACTTATGAAAGTAATGTTTTGGGTTGAAAATAGGCTCGTGCAAGAGAAGTTGGAGAGATAAATAAAAGTTTACTTACCTTGGATCGTGTCATATATGCATTGGTTGAGCATTTTGTTCACATTGCTTACATGTCTGTGCCGTACATCTTTTGTAGCATATAAAATGATGGCTACAGTGTGGGGGGATTTTTTGAATGATCGATAGATTATCTACAGAGCTGCCCGACCGCAGTCAGTCAGCCCTCGGGATAATCACTGAGATTGTATTAGGTCCTCCTTGATCAATAAAAGACTTCTATTTGTTATTGTTTGATCTTATCTAAGTACCTTGACCGATTAACACGTGGAATTAGTACTATCATTTTGGCGCCGTCTGTGGGGATCCGTGTACAAAAGCTATCGCAGACGAGTACCCGATCTTTCTTATCATCATGTATCCATTCATGTACCAAGAACTAGAGGATGAGCAAGCGGACGCAGCAAGTTCATCCGACCATCAACGTACACAATATCAAGGTCAAACAGTTGACCTGAACCTCAACCTGTCACCACCTCATTCGGCGGCCCAGAACCCGGTCAATTACATTCAACCGGCATATCCACCGCCTGGGCCGCAATATCAATTTCCCGGACAATATCCATACCCAGTTCCACCTCCTCAATATGGGTGTTGGCCGGGGACACCGATGTGTTATCCACCACCGACCGGCTATCCACAATATACGCCTGCGTACACGGCTCCAGCTTCCGCTACTCCGATTTACCCGACCATGTCGACCGAGCCCGGGCTAGGCGCTCGGCTCGTTCGAGGTTGGGGTCGCAGGGGGCTGAGGCCATAGAGGTACCACGGCAGGCTCCACATGTTCAGCCGGAAACACACGCTCAGGTGGTTGAAGACCCTGAGATAGAAGCCAACCGGGCGATGGCATTCGAGCGGCTCCGACTAGTAATGCGGCAAAGATTGGGACCGCAAGATCCAAACAGACGCTCGATTGATTCGCCTATGCGAGCGGCAAGCCAGGAGGGGTCGTCCGGGCATAGTGGGTCTAAATCGCACCGACGACGCCAGGCTCGGGACCTAGCCCGAACGGACGCATAAGATGAAACCCGAGGAATGCTCAATGAACTCCGGGCAGAATTCACTCGCTGGCAGAACGAGCATGCTGTGAGGCCTCCCACCGATCATTCAGCCTCTCTATTGAGGACACTCTTCACGGCGGAGATTATAGCTCAGCCTTACCCGCTCGATTTGCGCATTCCCCGAAACAAGGAATATGATGGGCGGACAGACCCAGAAGTCCATGTCAACACCTACTATGGCAACATGTTGATGATGGGCGTGTCTGACGCCGTGATGTGTAGGGCTTTCTACTCCACGCTCACTGGTCGGGCGGCGGAGTGGTTCAGAACATTACAATCGGGTTCAATTTCTGACTTCGCCAGTCTGGCGATGAAGTTCAACCGGAAGTTCGTAACTTCTAAGGTCATCCGAAAGTCTTACATGTATCTCGAGAAGGCCAAGCAATTGGAGGGAGAAAGTTTGACCGAATTTTTAGTCAAGTGGAAGGCGGCGGTCGGGGAGGTCGAGCCGATGGACGACCTGACGGCCATTCATATGTTGCACATTTCTTTACGAGCTGGTTATTTGTACCAGGATTTTATACTCCATCCGCCTGTCACTTATGAAGAAGCCCTCCGCCGAGTGACGGATTATGCCAACGCCGGTGAGGCAAACGCCGTCAAGAGGTCACAAGAGGTCGGAACGTCGTCTCGAAAGCCTTTCGGTCGGGCGAAGATCATCCCCGACCTCGAACCCGACCGGGAGAGTTCTCGGCGTTAAACCGGTCAGCGGCGGAAGCCATGCAGTACGCCCAATCTTGCAATCTCATTCGCTTACCTCCTCCCGGACCGGATGGGCCAGATAAGTCAAAACACTACGCGTATCACCGGTGTGCTGGGCATGACACGGAGGAGTGCACGCATTTGAAACAGCTGTTAGATGATTTGCTTCAGTTGGGAAAGTTATACAAATGTGTCGGCAAGAGAGAAGAGAACAAAAGAGTGGGTGAGCGAAAAGATCACAGGCGGTCTCATCATCGCTCTGACCGAAGAGATCAAGACCGCAGAGATCCCGATCCTCCGTCTAGTGGTCGACCGGCATCCAAACCGACCATCCACGTTATATTCGGAGGTTTGGAAGATGCTTCCCGACCTCGGGGAAGTTGACCGGTTGCGATCGTTGACTCCTGGGAAACCGGTAAGAGGCAAAAGATGGAGCCCATCACCTTCACTCTAGAAGACCAGCCGGAAAGCAGTGATCATGGGATGGAAGCCCTAGTTATCACGATTGATATCATGGGAACCGATGTCCAGAGAGTGATAGTGGATACCGGAAGCAGCGTGAACGTCCTTTATTTGGACGTGTTTGAGAAGCTGAAATTGGACAAGCGGGAGCTGATTCCGGTCGGGGTTCCATTGTCAGGATTTATCGGGGCCACTATTCGCCCCGAGGGCAAGATCGTGCTCCCGGTTGAGATTGGCACCCCTCCAAATTCAGTTAAAACGGAGCTGGAATTTGTTGTGGTCAACCTCCATTGTGTCCACAACGTCATCTTGGGCCGACCGGCCATTATGAGGGTCGGCGGAATCATATCGATGCCCCACTTGTGCATAAAGTTCCCTAGCCCCGCTGGGGTCGGAGTTGTGCGAGGCGATGTCCAGTCGGCGAGAAAATGCTATTCCCGGGCAGTCAATCGACGTGATGCCGGTTCTTCCCGAGTGAACACCATCATCAAGGAGGCCGTCGGAGATCGGAAAGAACAACCTGAGCCCTCTGAGGAAATAGAGGAGGTTCCTTTGTCTGAGGAACGATCGGAGAGAAAGATAAAGATCGGTCGGGCCCTCACCCCCGAGTTACGGTTGGAAGTGTTAGCGATCCTCCGGGAATTTGCTGATATATTTGCATGGGGACCTGAAGACATGCCCGGGATTGATCGGACCATAATTTGTCACAAGTTAGCTGTAGATCCCGCGGCAAAACCGGTCGTTCAGAAGACTCGGTATCTATCATCCGATCGTCGAGAGTTTGTCCGAGAGGATGTGAAGAAAATGGCGGCCATTGGGCACATTCACCCGGTCACTTATCCCAAATGGGTAGCCAATATTGTACTCGTGCCAAAGCCTCCATCCTGGAGGATGTGCATAGACTTCACCGACCTGAACAAGGCATGTCCGCTAGATCCTTACCCGTTGTCGAGCATCCATTAGATGGTTGATGAGGCGGCCGGGGCTGAGTTGATGAGCTTCATGGACGCATTCAAAGGGTATCATCAAATCATGATGAACCATGAAGACGAGAGTAAGACGGCCTTTGTCACGCCCGATGGGTTATATTGTTACCGGGTCATGCCGTTCGGCCTCCGAAATGCAGGAGCAACTTATCAAAGGATGATCAATATGCTTTTTGAGGACCTGCTAGGCCGAACGATGGAAGCTTACATTGACGATATACTGGTGAAGAGTCGGGACCGATCAGACCACACCCAGGATCTTCGACAGTGCTTTCAGATCATGCGGAAGTACCAGCTACGCTTGAATCCCAACAAGTGCACGTTTGCTGTGCAAACGGGAAAATTCCTCGGTTACATGATGACGAAGAGAGGAATCAAGCCAAACCCCGCCAAGGTCAAAACCATTCTTGATATGCAACCACCCACGACCGTCTGGGAGGTACAACAATTGACCAGGAGGTTGGCGGCACTGAGCCGATTTCTTTCAAAGCTGGCCGAGCGCGCTTTGCCGTTCTTTAAGGTATTGCGTAAAGTCAATGGGTTCGTATGGGATGAGGAATGTCGAGCGGCTTTTGATGAGCTCAAAGAGTATCTGTTGTCACCGATCGTCTTGTCAAAGCCCGAGCTCGGGGAAGAGCTAGACGTTTATTTGGCCGTTTCCGATCGAGCTGTAAGTGTGATTTTATGCCGAACAGATTCGGAGGGGGTGCAGCGACCGGTTTACTATGTGAGCCACGCGCTCCATGGTCCCGAGCTCCAGTACTCCCGGCTGGAAAAGGTAGTCTACGCTCTGTACACGACAGCAAAGAAGTTGGCCCCTTATTTTCAGGGTCGAGTGATCCATGTGTTAACCGATCAACCAATCGGGGCGGTTCTCCGTACCGCTTCTTCCTCTGGATGCCTGGTCAAATGGGCGTTGATGCTGACACAGTATGCAATTGAATACCGACCGAGACCAGCTATAAAGGGCCAAGCATTGGCAGATTTCTTGGTCGAGTGCATCGCTCGGGATACACGACCTCCAGAGGTTGAAGATCCTGAGGCGGCGTGGTGGTCGTTGGCCACCGACGGGTCAAGTAGCAAGAAAGGAGCCGGTGGAGGAGTCGTGATAACGAGCCCGGAGGGCTTCAAAGTGTATTATGCCCTGATGTACCAATTCAACCCGACCGACAATGAAGCCGAGTATGAAGCGTTTGTTAATGGCTTGCAATGCGCTCGGGAACTGGGGGCTGAATACATCCGCACTCAAACCGACTCTGCATTAGTCGTCGAGCAGGTATTAGGCGATTATGAAGTCAACGGGGAACGGCTACAAGCTTACCGTGATCTCGCCATGGAGAAGCTTTTTTTGTTTCTGGCGTATACCGTCCGTCACGTTCCCCGACTAAATAATGCCGATGCAGACATCTTATCCAAGTTGGCACAAGATGCCCCTGAACATATGTCGAAGATCGCTCGGATTTTGATGATTCCGAGACACAGCATTCACCGTTTGCCGGTCGCACCTATCCAACCGGGGCGAAGAAACTTGGATTTCTGATCTAATGGAGTATCTTCAACACGGTCGGTTACCGGACGACCCTCAGCGGGCCCGAAAGGCGAAGTTAAGAGCACCAAGATTTCAAGTTCAAGATGGTCGTTTATATAGACGGTCATATGGGGGTCCGTTAATGCGATGTTTGACTGCCTTTGAAGCGGACTTAGTAATGAACGAATTGCATTCGGGTATCTGTTCGTCGCACCAAGGGGGCTGGTCACTTGCCCGACGCATCATGGTGATCGGGTACTATTGGCCGTCTATTCAGTTGGATTGCGAAAAACTTGCCAGAGGGTGTGAGACATGTCAACTATATGCCCGGATGCCTGGACGACTGATTGCTGTAATTTGGGGCAAACAAATAATACCCGGAGTATTCGGGTTGTCGAACCACAGAGAGGTGGTGTACTAATCACTAGCTACTAGGTTACTCATATGAAACTAGTCCGAACAAAACTTGAAGGTTGATTGATTGCATAAAATAACAAGCAGAACAAAATAAGTAGCAAGGTTTTGTAGACAATAGAGCAAAATAGGATTCTTGGGATCACAATGTTTAATCACCTAGTGCCAATTAACGTTTGTAATATTTGGTTTGGAATTAAGATTTGTATGGGAATGCAAAGTGGAATCGAATTACTCCCGTAATCTCTATTCCTAGTGAATTTCCACTCCCATGGCTTAAACACCCAATAAGATCAAAGATCAGCATTCAATTATTCCTAATTACTACCATCTCCCGATGAGCAATAATCTAGAATAAACTTCCCCTAATAAGTTCCCCTTTCCCAAGGACCAACCATTAGGTGCAATCGTGTGTGCCCTAATTTATGCCCCAACTCCCATTGGTGACACAAACATGACTGTGAAGCTAGTAATTTAGGCCTTTAACTACCAACAACAACAGATTAAAACAAGATTGCAACACAAATCATAAAACCAAACATAAATATATTAAGAAATTAACGAACTAGGCACATAGGTTCATAAACAAATTCACCCAAAAATCCCTAAGGAATTTAGCCGAGCATGGCTAAATTATACATAGCAAATATGAATAAAGGAATACAAATCATCAGAAGAGTACAAGAATTAACCAAGCGATTCTCCCAAATCTCCCTGGCTTCCTCCTTGCTTCCAAAGACGACTTGAGCCTCTTGATTTCTCTCTCTCTTGTCGAACTCTAAAAAAATCTCTCGGTGTTTTTTAGGGTTGAGGAAGGAGGGATTTTATAGTAGGTATAAAGTTGAGACGAAATAGGAATCTGGTACAAAATTGGACTCAAATTGGACTCAAATATCTCGCGACTTCGTGCTGCGCCCGACGCGTCGAGCCAATTCTCCACGCGTCGAGACCTGCTGGTCTCGATCATAAACCTTTCTGGAAATTCTCGACGCGTCGAGTCCTCTGGGTCCCGAACTTGTCCAAAATTGCTCCAAACTCATCCTTGAACTTCCCTTGCTCATAGAATTGACCTACAATGGTTCAAAAACACTAACAAACAACGTAAAACATTCAAAACAAGTGCGAACCATAATTAAATGATAATAGCAAGGAAAACATGTATTAAATAAGCAAAATGAAAGAGCTTAATTACTGTGATGATTCAAAATAACCATAAAAACAAGAACAGATGTGATAACATCAACGACCGGCGACATTCTATTAGCCGGTCACGACCGCGATTCCTTTTGCTCGTTGGGGGGTGGACATCTTGGGACCCTTTCCGCAATTATCCGGTCGGAGACGCTTTGTCATTGTGGCCATTGATTATTTCTCCAAGTGGATCGAGGCCGAGCCTTTAGCCACGATCACTTCTCAACAATGCACCCAGTTTCTATGGCGAAATGTTATTTCTCGGTTCGACGTGCCCGTTCATCTGATCAGTGACAACGGTCGGCAGTTCGTAAGTGAGTACTTTCAAAATTTCTTGGCAACAATCGGAACAACCTCAATCCGATTGTCGGTGGCTTACCCGCAAGGTAATGGACAAGTAGAGAATGCAACAGAACT